CTCCCTCTCCCTCTCCCTCTCCGCCCCCCGGCCGCCTCCTCTGCCGAGCACGCTCTGCTCGCATACAAGTATCAGCTTGCCGCAACGGCGTCATGATCAAGGTGCACGAGCGCAACCAGAAGCTGCGCCGTATATTCAAGTACGGCTGCCTCATCTTTGGCATTGCCGCGCTGGCCGTGGGTACCTGGCTCGTCAGCTTTACTCGCAACTGCATAGCTACCAACGAGTGTGGCATGCTCCAGGTTCGTTCCATCCCAAGCAAGTCCGTACCCCAGACCACCAAACTGCCTTGCCCATGCCACACCACTCACACCCCTCATTCATGTTACAGGAGGTGCGTGGCTTTATTGCCCTGGCCTCGGTCCGTGCTGGCCACCAGCCAGGTAAGCCGTGTCATTCCTCGAATGCAGGGCGCACCCAGCCCTATCCCAGCGGCGCTGTGTCGACTACCAAAGTCACGGCCGACTCATGCGCCCACCCTTGCTTGGATATCTCAGGCCCACAACCCGCCACCAGTGAATGCGGCTGTCATGATGATGGCTGTGGCATCCCACACCCCGTTCAAACGCCCATCACCCCCGCCGATGAGGACGCCATGCGCACCCCCGGTGAACTGAATCCCCCATTTGTCTCCAGCGACCGCCACTTCCCATACGCCAAGGTCCTCGAAGACCCCAACAACTTTCGCCATATCCAGTGTGAAACGCAATGCGTCATGCGGTCCGTCGTCCCTCTCCTCAGCTTGCCACACTCTCAAAGTCGAGTTACCGCCAGCCTTGTTCAAACTCGTTTCCCCACTTACCACATACCTCATGCATCGGCCCTTCCCCGCTCACCGATAGCATGGCCTCGGACATCCCCACGTTTGAGAACTTGGACGCTGCTCAAACCCGCCTGGCGACCCGTGACGGCGTGCCGTGGCACACCTTTGTCCTGAAGGTGCGGACTTCGCTCCTCTGTGTGGCACTAAAGCCCCGGCCTCCTTCTCACCTCCCCCTCGTTGCGCAAACAGGCATACGGCGAGTGGTACGAAGACAATGCAGCCCTCATGCCCGAAACCACCCGTCTTCTCAAGGGTGCTGATAACCAAATTTCCGCCGCCATCCTGTCCATTCTCGAACCTGGCAAGGTAGGCTCGTGCCTAGCCCCCCTATACACCGCGGGGGCCTTCCTTCCCCCACTCTCCCATCCCATCCCGAGTGCTCACCGCACGCCTGCATCCACCCATACCAGCACATTGTCAGCCACTGCGGCGCCATGCGTAGCGTCTACCGATATCATCTGGGCCTTCAAGTGGATGAAGCCAACGATGCTTACATTCAGGTGGAAGATCTCACCTACCATTGGAAGGTTCGTGTCATCCCACGACCCAACGTCCCCATCCCAACCAACGCCTCATCGCAAATTACCAATTTGAGGTTATCTCGCCTGCTCACTCGAACACGGTTCTTGGACCCGCCCGGTTGACGTGATAGGAGGGAGAAGGCGTCATGTTTGACGATGCCTTCCGCCACGAAGTCAAGAGCGAAGCGTTCCACAACACAAGTTTTCGAGTCGTCCTCTTTATGGACATTTACCGTGATGACCTTCCTCTCGGAAGCAAAAGCTTGCACCAATTTGGTGAATGGCTCACTCGCCAGTCTCCCATCATTAGTGAAGCCAAGGTCAAGGCTCAGGCCATGACGCAAAAGCACGACCATATTTGCCATTGCTAGCATGCATCCTCGGCCCTAACGGACTTGCTTCATGTTGTGCTTTTTCTTATTTCTTGATGCGTTCGGCTGCGCCGACATCACTTGATACCATGAGAATACTTGCTCATCCTCCATAAGCCTTGCGTCCAGCTTCTGGCTGAACCGACTTTTTGATATGTGCCAGGCTCAGTTCTGTACTATGCACACGCTGAGGCGGGCCTGATTTCCGTTAATTTTCAACTAATTTTCCCTAATTTTTCCTTGTTTTTTTTTTTCCTTCCATCCAGATGTACTCTCTTGCCTTCATTTGAGCTTTTGCCATTCGCTTCGTCTTAATGCGCGTCAGTTCTCGACATCACAAGCTGCGGTGCAGTAAAGGCAGCCGACTCTCTTTACGACGTCGGTGTAGTAATGTGTCACGCCCGCCAGAGCCAGAGCCAGAAGGCATTGTGCGCAAGCAGCGGGGAAATACGCAAGTCAAAACAACACCAAGGCGTAGTGATTTCAGTTGACGCACTGTATATGAATTTGATAAAACTTAGATTAAAATACTGCTTAGGCGAAACCCGAGACCAACAAACTGAACAACCGTGCACAGGGGTATGAACACGCCCGATTGTTCTGCCGATGAGTCAAGCAACCTCGGCGGCTTCGGCGGCAACCTCAGCGTCTGGTGGCCCGAACGTACAATCATCAGCCGTAAATCGGTCAGTACAATCGGTCAGGCAAGATGGCAGTTGACAGCGTACGAAGTAGGCCCCCAACACTAGTGGTGCACGTAGCGCGAGCGAGCGTAGATCGCAGTCCTCGGCAGTGACATATTGTAGTCCTACTGCACTGACGCAGTCAAAGCGACAGCGTTTAAGGCGCGCCTTGCTCATGGTCACTCGAGTCATGCCACGCATACCGAGAAACTCGCAGTTCTCAAGCGTGGCGCGATCAAAGCTGATTCGGTCCAGAAGGCCACCCTCAAAGGACACGTCTTGAATGATGGCATCGCTCAGAATAGCCGAGCGCAGGGTGATACCGGACAGGCGCGTCTTGAGCATGTGGCTGCTGCTCAGATCAGTTGAGAGCAGTGTTGCGTCCTGCATGTCCACGCCGTCAAGAAGACAATTGCGCAGCGACACCACGTTGGTCAGTGTCAGTCCAGCTAGAGTCAATAGGGTGAGATCCAGTCCATCTAGATGCTGATCTCGACCCTAACATTGGCCAAAGCCGGAGCGACCAAAACACGGTGAGGCAAGACGACAACAACCCCTCCAGAACCCAGGCTCCAGACATCCGTGATGAGACGACGAGCGAATCGGTTTGAACGGGAGCGCTTGGTGGCACACATCAGACAACCGAACTACGCACGGCGGTGTAAGCGGCGAGAAAAGCGTTTGGGTCGCATCGATGTCGATGCCCAGGAAGCAAAGCTTGACCGTCGTGTGAGCTTGCGCCTTGCACCTGGGTGGCCCAGCGAGCTAGACCAGGGTAGAAAGCACTGAGGACTGCTTTCATGTTCTCGAGGCCAAAATAGTCGGCCTCCAGGAAGAGCGGCACCATCGAAGCCGTCTGGGCATTCAGTGGCACAGAGCCAGCACGCAAAAATTGCAGAATGGCCGGAAACTGGGCACCGTCCCGATCAATGAAGACGTGTGGCGGCTCGTTCTCTCTGCTTTCGGCGTGCGTGACGCCGAATTGGCCTAACCCAGGCATTCGATAATGAAGAGCGTGCCCTGAAACCAAGGCAATGAGGTCAGCCTACAATGCTGCCAACCTTGGAGGAGGGCAGCCAGCATGCTCCCTTCGGCGCGCCCCCGGGTCAGCGTGCTCTCACTGCTCACAAAGCGCGCCTGTCCCACCTGGGTTGAGCCGCAAGGTCGCCATGAGCATGAGCTCCAATGCCAAGCTTCAAACACACGTAGCGCCATGATGATCAACCCGCATGCCGCAACGTTGGATATACATCCAAGTCAAATCAGCCGTCGACCTTCGCCCACATGCCTCACATGATACTCACTTGTAGGTAAATCATCTTCTCAGCCATCGTCGTCATAAGTTCCCAAGCTCCCCGCTTGCCCTGCTCACCACCGCTGCCGTTCTCCCTTCCCCGCACGTCACACAAAACTGCTTTTGACAAAACGCAGCCAATTTGCTGACATTTGGCTCTGAGAGAGAGAGAGAGAGAGAGAGAGAGAGAGAGAGAGAGAGAGAGAGCACAGAGAGAGAAAAAGAGAGAGAAAAGGAGAGAGAGAGAGAGAGAGAGAGAGAGAGAGAGAGAGAGAGAGTAACAGAGAGAGAGAGAGAGAGTGAAAGAGAGGCATAAACAGAGAGAGAGAGAGAGGTCGTGTCGGTGGAGGCTCGGCGGGTGGAGCAGCATGGAGCTGGACAAGGCGACTTATGGGCCGGTATGATCGTTAGCGGGTGATGGGGGGGGGGGAGGGGGTTGCTGGGGTGGGGGCTGATGGGTTTTTGGCAGGGATGTTCAACTGCCTTGTGGCGATAGATTGCCAAGACCTTTTTGACGGCCTGTCGCAAGGGGCACATTGAGGTGGTTCAGGCTCAATTGCGGCATGAGAATCCAACAGTGGCCCCGCGGCTTCTGGGCCAAAAGGACATGGACGGCTACACGGGACTGCACAAGGCAGCCTACAATGGCCACCTTGCCGTTGTAGAGCTGCTCATTGCCAGGTGTGCCCCCACCTTTGCAATTGCTCCGTTCTGAGTTTCGCACTACCCGATTGCTCTGGTCTCATCAGCTCCCCCTTTTTTTACTCAGCGGTGCTGATGTCAATGTGGGCACCAAAGATAACTGGCGCCCATTGCACTGTGCGGCGCGCTGGAACAAGGCTCATATCATCGAGTGTCTTTTGGGACACGGGGCCGACATCAATGCGCAGACCAACGGGGGCCTTACTGCCATGCATATTGCAGCCACCTATGTACGAGGCCTGCTCGAATTCCGGTCACACACTGCGTTCCGCCTCCCGGTAACCATGCGCGACGACACTCTGATGGACACCTGGTGTGACTGGGGCAGGGTGACACGCGCGACGCTCTTCTAGTGCTGATTCATCACCCAGGCTACGACATCTCACTCAAAACTGCTCAAGGCGACAACGTGATTGATGGTAAGCGTCTTTGCCTTGCTTGACCAGAAGAATCAAACATCGTTTGCCTGTCTCATCATGTCTGGTCATTTCGTGTCCATAGCACTGGAGAAGGGCATTCATCGTGACCTGGCGCCCGTGGCCGCCAATACTAAGCAATAGATACTGTTCATCAGCTGCGCTGGACGCCAAGCGTCTCCAACGGGTCATCCGTCCGTCAGCCAACTCTTTTTTTTTTTGTTCTCTTTTACGTTCCCTGATGTTTGTCCGAGGCATTATCATTGTGCTCTCCTTGCCAGCTCGTGCAGTATAATAGCTTCCACAAACAACTTGACTCGTGCTGTGATTTCCAATGTTCGTTTGATCATGTTCACAGATGGAAAACTCTCAAAGAAGCCTGGGTCAGCACCCGCGCTTTGAATTGGCAGTCATCTTGACACAACATGTAAAGAACACCAAAGCACATTGACGTAGCAAACACATAACATCCACGAAACCACAAGCAACCTGCAAAGGATGGAGACACTACCAACGCGAGAAGTGTCTAGAAAAGCTAAAACCTAATTCTGGGCAGCCACTGTGGCGGCGATCTGCTCTGCGTGCAAGCTGCACCACAACACGTGGTCGTCGCGTGCCAGAATACGCAGAATTTGTTCCCGCAACACGGCCGAGTCGGTGTTGGCATCAGCAATGAGAACGGGGCAGGCCGTGATGGATGCCACACTTGCAAACAGCCTGAATGAACACCAGCACATGTGAAGGGGTGCAGTCGCTGCGTGCCTGGTACACACCAGTAGAAGAGCAGAGAAACATGGGGGCAAAGCTGGACGTACGCTGCAGAGGTCACAACCACTGTGGGTTCGCTGATGGTTTGGAGTGCGGTCAGACTGATTGGAGTCAAGGCCGAGTAGTGCTGCAGCTTGGTCTGGGCCCCCTTCAGGTTTGGGGCGTCCACTGTGTGCCGATGCAGAGCAATGCGAGAGTGTACAACATCGTCTTGAGTTGAGTTGCATCGAGGCTGCTATTGGACCACTGTCGTTTGAAAAATTTCGCACGCGCTCGGGGTACTCAGTTTTCAAGCATAAAGACCTACCTCCCACGGCGATGCAGGCAGTGGGGCGGCGGGCCTTGAAGCCGCGCACAGCATCGGCGACCCATTCGTATTTTTTAAGCACCTCGGTCAAGTCGGCATCTGTCACAGTCTTGAGCTCGCGGTAAAACTGCTTGTCCTGGACAACGGGTTCAAGTCAGGTGAGCGTGCGTCACGTCCATTGCTCATCCAGCGGACCGTTTCCTTTCTGACCTTCATCAGACGACGATCACCCTGGGGCCACACGCGCCAGGCATCGTTATCGATGACATCAGCCAAGATGAGGCGGCCTTGCATGTCAATGCCAAATTCGATCTAAAACGGCGCAGCGCAGGCATCACGTGTCGAATTCACAAGCGAGATGCCGTGGGGTGAGGTGACCGTGCACGGATGAGGTGGGATGCGTTCCCAAGCACAGGGCACCGGTTACTTGTGCAGTTGATTGGGCAAGTGCAAATCAAGTGTCTTACCTTCATGTCGACGAGGGTGCAGCCTTGAACGGCCCAAGCGCGTTCCAGGGTTTCGAACACGGCCCGGGTCCAGAGCTCCATCTGCTCCACGTACTTTGGGGTCAGCCGCAGCTGCTTGGCCTCGTCAAGCAGAAGAGGGTTGCTCAGGAGCTGCTCCTTGGTCACTTGCGGGTCATGGTTGGCATCGTCTTTGTAGAAGAACTCGAGGCAAGGCGTTGGAAAGCGGTAGGCCTCCGTCACAGGGAACGGCGTCTGGGGCCGCGGGCACATGCCAGACAGCACAAGCATTCATCTGAATTGCGCCATTCCCGTGTGCGAATTGACGGGCATGACCCAGCGCTCAGCAGGTGTACAAGTTAACCAAACGCACCTTGAAACGACGAAGGTACGAGCCGTAGGCAACGCGGCGAGCCACGCACTCGATCGGGATCATGTGCACCTTCTTGGCCACCATCATGTCCCTAACCAAAAGGCGAGAAAGGCAGGGCGCAGGCCGGTAGTCAGAAGATCAAGGGTCTCAGCAACCATGTTTGCTAACCGAGTGCATGAGTCGACTGGTACATGAGCCGCTTCTGTGCAATAAATAGCACTCGCTTCTGTTGACAAGACTGGCACGCACCCGCTGCGAGCGACAAAGTGGCTGGGAATACCAACGCTGTTCAAGAACTCAAAGATGGTGCAGGTGGTGTCGTTGGCAACCTTGGCCTTGCCCGAAATCTCATGAGCACGCGCACCATCCCCTGCCGATGTCAAGTTCATGGACGCATCGGTCAACAGGCGAACGAACAAAGAGGGTATTGGCAAAGAGGGATATGGTCCAGAGCAGGCGCGTACCAGCTGTGATGCGGTCCTTGGACACGAGAATCACTTGGTCAAAGTTACGGGCATGTTGGTGGACGACCTGAGTTTACCGCCAAGGGCAAGAATGAGCACAGGCAAGCGCACAACCATCACAAGAGCGCGCACGTGCACTGCCATGGGCTGTGCGATGGCTCACACCTTGGTCTTGCCCTCGACGATGGTCTTGCCAAGCATCTCCATGGCAGCGGAAGCGATAGAAGAAAAGAAAGGAGGCAAGAGCTGGGAAGAAACCGTGCTTGTTCCCTAAAGGAGAGAGAGAGAGAGAGAGGAGGGGCATGGGGCGAGGTGGTCAGGGGGCGGTCATGGCTGAAGTCGGAAGGCAGCCGTCTTGCGTTGTGCAGCTTTGACTGCACACTGCCATCCTCGAATCGCAGTATCACTTCCGTGCCCATGCCTTTCCTGCCTTGCCCCTTCCAAAATAATCCATGCTGTCCAGCTCCTGCCATCCTCATCATGTAGCCTCTGCTCACAAATCTCAGCGCCTCCCGCTGCCGTTTCCCGCCTCGGCACACACCTTGAGAAGAGGAGAACAAATTGTGTGAGAGAGAGAGAGCGAGAGTTTGAGAGAGAGTTTGAGAGAGAGTCAGAGAAAGAGTCAGAGAGAAAGTCAGAGAGAGAGAGAGAGAGAGTTTCAGAGGGAGAAAGAGAGAAAGAGAGTTTCAGAAGAGAGTTTCAGAGAGGGAGAGAGAGTTTCAGAGAGAGAAACAACACACAGACACAGCACATGTACGTTGCGCAACGCCGACTTGCGCAAAGACAACATACAAACCGAAAAATAAAATACTTTTGAGGTTGGGTCTTTGCATACTAAAGGAAGTAAAATACTTTTATCTATTCTTCAAATTTAACCGACTGCGAATTTTATTTTTCAAAATTTTTGGTTTTTTTTTTTGGATGTGTGTGTGTGGCTCTGTGGCGTCATCCGAACGGAGCTCGAGCGCACGGCGACCCGACGGCAGCGCTCGCAGGTACGCCGGTATGATTGGGATATGAGGTTATTGCGACTGCTTGGATAGCATAGTGTGCTACAGTGGGCTGTGTCTGGTCAGGGGTGAAGGGTGAGCGGAGCAAGCGTGCGAAAGGGCGCGAGCGCGCGAGGGCAAGTGTGTGCATGCATGTATCGGGGCACTGAGCAGGCGAGGGCGTGCTCGTTTGATACCGCAACCCTTTTGCATTACGTGCATCTCTCACAGAAGGGTGGTGTAGGTCTCAAGTGCATAGGCCTCGCCTTTGTCTGCGTTGCTTGACGTCTCTGGCGCCATGGCGAGCCATGGCGGGCCACCAGCGCCCGCCCACGATGCCGCCTTTATGCACACCTCGCTAGTGCAGTGGGTGCAGTTCTTTTGCAAGGACTGCGAAAATGACTGTGAAACTCTCGATCAACTCGCCGATGCCGTAGTCCTTCATGAAGCCATGTGTCAAATGTGCGCGCGATCAAAATGCTTGTGACAAAGGCAGCTCCCCCGGGTTTCTTGCCTGGCACCCTCCCCTTCTCACGCTGGTGTGGTCTGGTTTGAATCCTTTCGCTGTGCAGCGATGGCTCGTACTTTGGGGATTATGTGGATCGCGTATTTGATAAGGTAAGCGTTGTCAAAGCCGAGTCCGAGACCCGCTTCTGGCCTCCGGCCGGCCGACCGCACCTGCGACATCCACAGTGACGATGGTTGACGTACGGTAGGTGACGGACATGGAGCAACGCCGACACAACCTGGAAGTGCTCCTTGAGGCCATTACCAACTATTATCAGGTAGATGAGTGCACATCCACTCTCAATGTAAAGACTGCAAGTAAAAGCTCATTCTTATCGCTTGCACCACGGCAATGACAGGACGTGTTGTCCCACGTCATATTGATGGAGCTGCCCCTCACAGATGCGATCGTCAACGATCCCGCCTCTGGTATCCATGCCGCCTTTTCACCTGCCCGTGCTCTTTGCACCGTGCAATTGTGCGCCTCCAGGTGCTCACACTTTGTGCACATGCAATTGCGGCAGAGTTGGGCAAGCAGGGGCTCAGCCGTTTTCTCCTCCTAATGCTGGGCTGTGCCGTCAAGTGTGCCAACAAGTGCGCGCCCGCGCCCTTGCTCTTTGCCTATGCAATGCCCTCTTTGCATGCTCGTTTCTCACAACAGGGAATTTGCGCCCTTTGACCTCTTGTGACATTGTGTGGTAGCGAGCGATTCGTCTTGCAACTGCGCGAGCTAGACAGTGACGTGCAGGTATCAACAAGTTTGCGGCGCCCCCATCCTCACAAGCGTTTCTGAGTAACTCTGATGGGGTTTATTCTGCATCGTCGGGGCCATTTTTGATAGCTGCAACTGATGGAGAGCATCAATGCTCTTTTTGCGGGTGTCCTCGAGGTCCCCATGTCTAATTTGGAGGCACAGCCGACAGAAAATCTGGTGCGTCCAGTGTCCTTGAAGGCTCACAAAGAAAGCAAGGAAATGCGTCCTCTCACTTTCTTGAGCAAGCGAGACTTGGGCTCAATACTGACCATCGTGCTGCGGTGCGATTGATGATGTGCCTGTCTTGCTTCGTTCCAGGTGGAGTTGTCCCGCTTGACTCTGGAGAAACTCAATCTGGTTCTGGCAGAGCGCGACGACTACGCACGGCGCTTGTACCGCGCTGAATGGACAATGCTCGAAACTTCACGTTGCATTGACCCCAAGAGTGATCAAGAAGCCGCCATTCAGTACGCAGCGCCGAGACGGGCCACGTTTTCACGTGCTCTCCCACCACGTATACTGGTGCTCACTCGTGCGCTGTTGCGCAACCCGAGCACAGGGCTATCCGACACGAGGCTGACCTCAAGGCTCACATTCGCACACTCACAGATGAGCTGTATGTATCTGCTCCCTGAATCATGACGACTCCGCGCGCTGCCATGGCTGATTCGTCTCTGTTGCTTGACTTTCACAACGGTTCATGCGGCTGCGACTTATTTTGTACCCTTTGTCCTTGGCACTCGGTTCTAGGGACATGAAGGCGGATGCCTATGATCAACTCATGGTCGAGTATGACGCGCGCCGCAACGACATCAATCGCCTCAATACTCAGGTGCGCCAAACCTCAGCCGGCGCGGGTGCCGCGGTGAAACGGCGGATTAGATAATCCTCTAAACTCATTGCTTTCATGGCCTCTTCTTGTCCCTTATCCAGGTGCAAGAACTGCAAGCCACTGCCGAGGAAGCCCAGACATTACGTGATGACCTCGACGTCTTTGCCAACAAGGTACATTTTTTCAGACTCCCCCAAACAACACTATAAGAAAGCAACAAAAAGTTGCCACAAGCTTGTGTGCTAACGTCGTGGCGCTTCGCAACAGGCACGAGACGCAGACCGCTACAAACATGAGCTGGAGAGATTGAAGCAACGGGTTGAGGACTTTGAATATGTGGATAAACAGCGCAATGATCTACTTGAGCAGAATCGCGTGCTGCGCGAGCAGGTTACGCGTGCACAAGAGTCATCCCTGGCCGCTGGCAACATGAAAGACGACCTTGGTGCGTTGCACGCTTGGCTTTGTACCGACCAAGCTTAAACAGGGGCCTAGCCGGTCTTTGACAAACATTTCCTGTCTTTGGGTTTGTTGTTTTGCAGATGAGAGTGACCGCAAGGTCCAGACTTTAGTCATCCAGGTTCGTGATCTCAACGAGGCCATTGCCGGTCATCAGCTCAAGAATCGACAGCAGTACATCGATTTGGCGCGGTAGGTTGCAGCGAACCCATGCTGGCATATCCAGCCTCCTGTTGCCTTTGCGTGGGCAACAAGGAGATTTGGATGTCAGCGAGTCTATGCTTCCAAGGACATGTGGTCAAACTGAAAAAGGGACAGTCAGCTCACGTCTTAGACGGTCATCACTCATGACACCGGTCGCATGAAAACGGCATCGATTGTGGTCATCTTTTAGGAAAGACGAGCAGCTGGCCGAGTTGAAGCGCGAGCTTGAAAGGTTGCAAGAGCGCGCAAACGAAGCTCAGCAGCGAGCCGAGCGCTCACTGGCGGATGCGCAAGATACGGTTCCTCTCAAGACATTTCTTGAGGCTGAAACGGAGATCGTTCGCCTTCAGGTCTGGATACGCAATCGCGCAAGATTTTGCTCTGAATGTAAAGTGGTGCATTCCACGTATGATTTGAGGGTCTCACACATCGTTGGTTCCCTACCTGTGGCGTGTCAGACTGAGCTGGAGTCGGTCAAGTCATTTCAAAAGGATGCCCATACCGCTCACGAAGAATTGTCCACTATGCGCGCTACCCTGGTTGGTGGACATGACTGGAGAGGGTGGGGAAGGTTTTTTTGCAGCACGTGTATTATCGGCGCGTTTTTCTGACGGGCTTTTCGTCTGTTTTAGCGATCGGTTGAGGAAAGCTTGGATGAGGCGCAAACCGAACTTCGTAATCGCATCGAACAGGCGGCAGCTCTCCAGCAACGTCTTGATGCTGCCGACCGCGAAAAAGCGGAGGTTGGTGATGCCTTCCCCTTTTTTCTTCTTCTCGGGTCGTGGATGATCTGACTGCTGTTCAGATGCCCCTCTTCGCGCCTTGCCATGGTCAACTCATGCACCATTGGGGCTACAGCTGCAACGAAAGGCAGATAGTAATGCAGAGAAGATGGCACGCAGCTTGAACGAAGAATCTTTGCGCAAAGCAACCTTGGAAACACGCCTTGATGCCGCTTTAAGCAAGTCTTTGGAGCTCAAGGACGAGCGCATCCAAGTCCTAGAGGATCGCCTTCAGGATGCCAACAAGCAAATCGAAGCGCTTCGTGATGTAGGTACTTGGCGTTGTCCTCGATTAAACCATCAGCTTTTACCGTTTTCCGCCAGATCTCATCGCGTGCGCCGGGTCTGCTCATCGATACGCAGGATGTGGAAACATACAAATCACATGCTAATCGCCTTCGCCAGTCAGCTCGCTCTTCGCCCGCCGAACCTGTTCAGCTTCAGAGGTCCATCATCTTTCGCCTGGCTCTTGCTCTTTGCTTGCGTCTGCTTGCCGTTGAGCCCACCGTACTTGCAACGCCTGCATTTGGCCTTGTCTCGACTTGCTAATCGTACTTGCCTGGTTTTTTTTTTTTTTTGGTGAAACTCTAGAACGCGTCGCTCCTCCAAGCCCGTCATCAGTAGCCCTTTGTCTGCACAACAGGAGGTTTGTTGACAAGCCTATCAAGTTATAATTTTCTTTTTTTTGCCGCAACAAAGCGTCTGCACAGACCATGCTGATATGTGCCTTGCCCGCTGCGTGTGTGTGCTCTTTGCAGCGGAGAGATTCTGATCTCGACCGCGACGAGGCCTTTCATGCCGCCACTTCCGTCCTTCGCCAAGAGGTCTGCTTTGCTCTTTACTCTCTCGTCCAAAACTCTCAGGATGAGCCACGCATGTGACCATGGTTGGATGCTTATGCAACGCTTAATTCCCAATAGCTGGCGTCGTTGCGCGATGAAAACCAGCGTTTGAAGAGCAACCACGATCGCCTTGCGGACCAACTGGACGATTCGCTGATGTGAGTGTCGATGTTCGGGAGCCTCCCCCCCAGCACGTTCTGGAGTCTTGCTTGGCTGACGCGCAAACCTGTTCAAACACACACATGCACACACACAGGCGCAGTGATCTGAACGACAGCCGGGCAGCAGATCTGGAATCCAGCAATGCAGACTTGGTTGACAAGGTGGAGCGGATGAGGAATCGAGCCAAATCGGCAGAGCGGGACAAAGCCAAGCTGCGCAAGCGCTTGCAGGTCTATGCCGAGAAAGCGGCCAAAATGGTCCGCCTGCATGAACAACAGCTAGAAGAGAATCGTAACTTGGCTTCACAACTCGAGGATGCGCTCATGAGCAACACGGAGCTTCAATTTGCCTTGCGGGACTTGCAACGGCAATTGACGCAGCGTCAGGAGGCATCCGAGGCCGAGACCGGCCCTGGCGCCCCTGCTGCCGAACCCGAGGAAAAGGTATGAGGCGCATGGATTTGCAAAGCCAGGTTTTTCAACTGGCTGATCCCAATCCAGCAGTCACCATGCTTTGTGTCCTCACCACCACTCCAACGCTCGCCATTTGCCGCTCCAACTTCCTGTGCGCAGAAGCGCCGCGGCACATGGTTTCGCCGCAAAAAAGGCCAGCCCAAGCTCAAGGACAAGCAAGGCTCACGTGCGTAATTTGCAAATTGTACTGGCATGTCCCTATTTCGAGGGCCAGGCTTCTGACATCCGCCGCCTGTTTTTTGGGCCATTTCCCCGCGCTCACCATATCCGGTACTGTGTGTTATGGCTGCAGAGGAGAGCCTGGTGATGCCGCAAGAGTGAGTCTTTATTGCTTGGCGCGTTTGTGAGCAGTCAGCATTGGTGCGCACGGGCGCAACGATTGATGTCGGTAATGGTTGCTCATGTGGCTTATAGACCGTCAACTCCGGTCAATCAGCACATTGCTCAGCTGGCTGCTCCAGCCAGCGTTGGCAGTCTGGGTCTTAATAGCTCGGGAGGCTCGGTAGGTCGAACTTTCCTATTCTGCTATTTGTGCGGGTGGCGTCTAATGATTTGCCGTCTGTCTGCACATGTTCATAGGAGACCATGGGGCTGTATGACATCTTGCGTGAGGGCCGCATGGACATGGCGCGCCGAGGGTATGGGAAAACGCCGGCCCACCCCCCTCCGCAATCTCGCATTCATAAGGTGGGTGGTGGAACTGTCAACAAGGTTTCATGGGCAAAGCCGCGGTGAACATTGTTCGGCTATTAAAGGGGCTGGACATTTCTGTGTCAGGCCTTGGGCCAAAATCTGAAGCTCCGTGCAGCATGGCACTCAATCCTTTGTCAATTTCCTATGTCATTTCTTGAGAGCAGGAGAGCCCCGTTCCTTTGCCGGGACACGCCAATTCGCGTGAGCAAACCATTCTCGAGTTTTTCCTTTCCGAGAATCGCCAGCCTGTACGTAGATCAGTTCATTTGCTGCACAAAGAGGATCCTGACCCGTGCACCTAGGGTTACTCTACCCTTGCTGTGGTCTGGTGGGCACTGATTTGCTTGCGCACGGGCTTAGGAGTGGGAGCGTCGCGCCCATGACCGGCAGCAGCACCCGTCGAATGGAGCTGGCAACAATGCATCTGACGAACCCGCTCGGCGCCCGACATCTCCCACTTTGCAACGCCAGCGCCGTAATTTGTCTGGTGCATCGCGACGTGGCCGCACACGCCAAGTATGCACCCGCGCCTACTTGGAACCCTCTAGAAAGCCAAATGCGCGAGAGCCGCGCGCGGCTGGCTGCCATGTTGCGTACAGGGGCTCTCACTCTCCCTTTGGATGTGCACAGGAATACTCTGTGGGCCATAGCACGCCTTTGGCGTCGCCGTTTACAGCATTGAGTATGACATCGCAGCCCACTCGTCAACATCGCGTGCCTCGGCGAGTAGAGCGTCCGCCAAACTTTGGACAATTATCGGGTCCTGGGGGCACTGGCGTAGCTGATTTGCGGCGCTTTACTGCTGAACAGCAGCAACCACCCATGTTGCGGCTCGGTGGCCTCACGCCTGGCGAGTCTGAAACAGATGAGGGCTCAGCTGTTGCTGCTGCTCTTCATCATGATGTTACAATGTAAGTTTGTTGGTGCCCTGCATTTTACATGCTTGCTTGCGCCACCCAGACTTGTCGAATGCTGAGCCAAGCAGCTCATCACGTGCCCTCACTTTTGCATCATAGGGACATGAATCCTGATAGTTCGGCCGAGTGGGACGTGGCTGGTACCGTCTAGGGCACACAACAAATGACGATCAACATGAAGATTGGTCATGTGTGAAAAAGCATCTGTGTGCTGTGTGTGTGTTGTGTTTGTGGGCACGGGTGTTGTGCGATAGCACATTTCTATTATGTTTGAATCATCCTATCCCCTTTCCTTCTTATAGGTGCCAGCTCGACCTGCTTGTATCAATCAGGCGGAGAGCACCAACCAATTCAACCAGAAAGTCTTTTTTACATTTTGTTTATTGCAACACGTGAACCAGCGACATGCCACACCCATACGCTTCGCTAGTCGCATCGCAGATCATGCTTTCATTGATGCCCTACAGACGAGGTCAGGGCTTGATAAAGCCAAATCGTTTCGTACAAAGCTTGATGGCGTCGATGTTAGGAGCAGATTAAAAAGGCCCAGTCAGTGGTGCCGGGATTGGGAATCGATGAGTCTGTAGTCGGCAATGTGATTCGGTTGTTTGTCATGACTTGGCGTCTGAAGGCCGAGGAGCTTTCTTGCATTGCTGCATTCTTGCATCAGGCAAGTGTTGCCACAGCGTTGCACATTACACAAAGTGGTCGAGGAAAAAAAAAATCAGTCGACAAGGAACGGGACATGGGAGGCGAGCAGACATGGAAGGGAACACCGGTGATTTGACGAGATGAACCAAGTTCCTTGACCACCATGCTCATCCGCCGGTTCATATTTATGTAAGCCCTGAAATGAAATGACCGCCATTGTGGTTGGCCGGCGGAAAATCGAGCAGGGCCAGATTTGGATGCCAGCTGCAGCATCTGGCTCTCTTCAGCAGGGACAAAAGAAGCCAGTCGTAAAGGTCTGGCAGGTGTGGCCTGGAACACCCAAGTCTCCTAGCTCGCGCTGGACCGCACTGATGTTGAGCAGCGAATTGCTACAGATTTGCACATAGGTGCCGACAGATGTTATGCCATACAAGCCCTCAAGACTGGTTAAATGGGAATTCTCCTGCCAGACCCAAACGTGTGAGAAGTCACAAATGCTGTCATGAAAGACGACCAAGTCTTTGATCAGCGGTCGGTGGGACTCAACGGCTCAACCGTACTTGCACTCGGATATATGGGCCAACAATCGTCAGCTGGCTTAGTCCGTCCACGTTCGTCAAGCCAACATTGCTCTACGGAGTTAAGAAACACAGTTAGATGCACATGAAGCGTGCTGGCAAAGCGACGCAGCCAATCATCGCCTAAAAGCAACTCACCTGGACTCGAAGATAGCCGCCAATTGAGGACAAGCTTCCGAGACCATCCACATTCTTCAGCCCAACATTGCCCTGCACAGACAACAAGCCGTACCCGTTGTGAAAGGACATAGCCCGCGTCATGGTGCTCTCAAGGGCCACATGTCTCCGTGCATCGTAGTACAAGTACCTTCCAGCCCTCTCTCGATTCCTCGCCTGGTAAAAAGCAATGGTAGGCGCAAACAAGGCAGCGCTCAACGGGCGTCACGTACAGAGATCAAGAGGGAACCTCCGACGAATGTAAGCTTGTCTAAGCCGTTGACATTTTGCAGTGCGCCGTTGCTCTGCCAAACAAGCATATCACGGTTGAACACCGAGTGAATCGACGGCCGTTGCAAATGAATGCTGACAGTCCAATGTTTCTCTCCCTTTTGAGGGAATACATCTGCCCATAAAAGCTGGGAGCTGCCCTGGCATTTGGTCACGGCTGGGAACAGGCACTGTCAATCTTGAATGGTAACACCACAGGACGTACAATGACAAGAAAATCCCCACCGACAGTTGCGAGGTTGGCCAAGCCGTGCACGCTTTCCAGATTTGCGTTGACCTGTCGGAATCAATGTATTGTATCAAAGTGCCAATGAGCGCCGTGATGTCGCTGATGCCCACCTTGGAAGTCACTTCCTCATTTGTTCTCTTTTGCTAACGGGACTCGGGTTCCTGGGCATGCCTGTATTGGGAGCGCGGACAGGCGAGACTCACGTTGATTTGAAGAAAGTCGCCGACTGATATCAGATTGCTCAGGCCGTTCAGAGTAGCAAGCGCAACATTGTTCTAGAGCACCGTTTGTCGCATGATGACATGGTTGCCCAACACAACGTCGGATGAGCTGCCCAATGCCTGACTCGAGCGCACAGACAAAGTCATGGGTGGCTGCACGAGGGCTCAAGGACGTACAGCAACCTGAAAATGGCCATTGATTGCCGTCAAACGGCTCAGCCCGTCCAAGTTTGACAATGCATTGTTGTCCTACAGGTCGAAACCGGTATGGTGAGGGGCTGACCGTGCTGAGCACCACCCGTAACTTCAACGACAAGGCAGGCTATTCAACTCAAGAAAGGGGTCTTTTCTCCCTTGCTCACTTCACCAAGCCATAATTCTTGAAAGGTCATGACTCTCGTTCTGCAACAGCTCCCACACGACTCCACGGAGCATCCAAGGCCTTAACCTGATGCAAATAATATGGAGCTCGTTTTTCAATCACCAATGACTTACGCTCACTAGAACATAGGTTCCGATTGATGTGAGATTACCCAAGCCATTCAGATGTGCCAGCAAGCCGTTGTACTACGAGGTCCAGGCATGGCATCACTCAAACGAAATGAGACGTTTTATACGTTTTGGCAGATGGGCACTTCCAACGCAGACAAGAGGCCCGGTTTGGCCGAGAATCAGCGGACGTACAGAAATGCTTAAATAGCGGCCAACTGATTTCAAATTGCCCAACCCGTTCACATCTAACAAGGCATCATTGTCCTGCGTGTTCAGTACTAGCCGTGAGCTCCACCCAGGCATATCATCAGGTTGACACGTGCCGCACCCACGCTTAAATTTTCTACGTTTTTGCAAGCATTGGTTGATGATGTGGTGTGCTAGCATGCCAACGTATGCGTATCTCAAGATAACCGCCGATGGACGTCAGGTTGCCGAGTCCATCCAAATTTGTCAATGCGTCATTTTGCTGCAAGAGTCGATTGCAGAGTGTGAGCTCAGAGGAGAGGGAGAGAGAAATTGGCGTTGTAGCCTGGCCGGCCAAAGACGCGGAAGCAGCAAATTTTTGCACCGGCCCTTCAGCCTTTCTGTTTCTTCTGCTCGCCAGCCCCACGTGACGTACATAGATGTGAACGTGGCCGCTCACGTGAACGATGTTTTGCAGGGCCTGCAAGTCTTGCGCGGTGAGATTTGTGCAATAATACAAATCGAGGTGGCCGAGGATGTGCGTCGCGTTGGGTGGCACGCCACTTGGGCTGCACCCCACGTTGCTTGAATACACCACCGCTTCAGGAGATACTGTGGGGGCCGTGGTGCTCGGGGCGGGAGTGGGTGATGGCGGCGTTTGTGGCGAGCAGCCCGAGCAGATTTCGCGAAGTTCGGTGAGTGCGTTTAACACGTCCACGCCATTGAACAGCAAGCGGGTGGCGCTGGTGACTGATGAGCTGTTGATGATGAGGTTGCCGTTGATATCGGCTGCAATGATGGGTTCATCCTCCGAGGCCCAGGTTGTGGCGAGTCTGGCGTAGAGTAGGACAGCCACAACGAGCCCACTCACAAACCGCAGCGACCGCATGGCACAGCAGCTCCACCACTCGAGGAGATTAAAGGAAGAAGGCGAGGAGAGGGTTAGGGGAGGAGAGAGGAGAGGGAGAGGGAAGCGGTCAGAGGGAGAGGGAGGAGAGGGAAGCGGGGAGGAGTGGGAAGAGGGAAGAGGGGAGAGGGAGAGGGGAGAGGGGGAGGCGCGGAGAGGAGTGATTTTGATGATCTCAATCCATCAAGGTTTGTGTGTGTGCCCGAAAACATCATCAGCAAAAGAGAGTGACGTAAAGGACATAATGTCAGATATTAACATTAGAGAGGTACTCGTTATGTTGGAACGCTGATATACTTTGAAGGGGTGCCCCGCCCTCGACGGGGTTACGTGTGTCGTGATGCGCTCGAGCGGCAAGAGGGAGAGGGAGAGATTTGGTGGTGGGCTGATTACCAAACGTAAGACCTTGGCTGCAACGGGATTTGTTCGTTTTGGCAGCGCGCGTCTTCCCTCGTTCCTGTTGTTGTTGCTGCTTGGGTCTTGACCAAGGGCATGGCGGTCGACTGTGCCCAGAGCTGAGGTAACGACGCTGCCAGACGCTGGGTCATAGAGACCCGGCTGTTGGTGCTGCAAGCCTAACCTCCGTCATCGTCATCGGATGAATTGACGAGACATGGTCAACAACAAACACACGCCTCCCCTATGCCTCTCTAACACCTCTCTCTCTCTCTCTTTCTCTCTTTCTCTCTCTCCTTCCCTCTCTCTACACTCACCTTCTCCTTCTTTTTTTTCGATTCAACCGCTTCATCTCTGAAACCGTCTCTCTGATCCACCAGTGTCTCTGCGTTTGTGGCGCAAGAACGTTCGTGTCAGTCGCTCTGCTTTTTTTTTTATTTTTTTTGGGACCGTCTCTGGTCCTGGTCGTCCTCGGTGTTCGCCTGGCTCTGCGCTATTGCGTCGGCAGGCAAGCAGGCAGAGGCTGCTTGGTTTTACATTTATACTTGGTTTCCTTTCTTCTCCTGCCTTTTCTCCCTCCTCCTCCCTTTTTCTCTCCTTCCTTTTTCTCCGCGTTCTGTGGCGGTTGCTCGACGCCTACGCCGCCGACCATGATGGCAACGCGCTACCCGCCGGCAAACCTTTCTGCCGGACAGCACGGCCCTTCAACACAACAGCAGGCACCGCAAATATCGCAGGCACAACCGCTACACCATCCCTACTATGCCTCTGATCGATACTTTCCCATGCCCTCCGCCGGCTATGCTCCGATGTACGTGCATGGCCCCGGAGGTCGTCCCGTGTACATGGGCCGACCCGTGGCATCGCCGCCCACCTTTGGCCGCACCACCATGCCTCCGCCCCCACCACCCATGCGCCTCTCCGAGGCCGAGGAGATGATGAAAATCTCGAGCCGCAAGAAAAAGCGCATCCCCCGCCCCATGAATAGTTTCATGATCTTTGGTAAGGAACAGCGCAAGCTCATCCAACAACAACATCCAGACCTCGACAACAAGTCCGTTTCAAAGCTCCTGGGACAGCGTTGGGCCTCTCTCCCCGATTCACAGAAGCAGGTCTACGTGGACAAGGCCAAGGAAATGGCCGAGGAGCACCGCCGCCTCTACCCCGATTGGAAGTTTACCCGCGACACCAGCAAAAACAAGAAATCCCGTTCAAAGCTCAAGCAATCCGTCTCCCAGCACTCTGTGGATGGCGATCACGATCACGACGAGGCTGGCACCAATACGGAGGCGGACCACGCCAATGAGGGGCAGCAGCAGCACTTGGCGCCCACCAATGGATCGGCCGCTTCTCAGCACCCCGACCCCAATTCCTCAAGCGCTCCCAACCCCCAACACCTCTACCCACAAGTCCAATTTGCGCCTCCGCCACCGTCTTCTCACCTGCCCCCACCCACCAGCCAGAGTGCGAGCAGAGCCGCGGGTACCAGCGCCCCCCCGCCCTACAATGAAGCCATCAACATGTATCAGCTCAATCCTCAGCAAGATGGCGGCCCGCCGACCACCAGTGGTCCCTCCTCGCACCTCTCGCTGAGCTCGCACAACGCCAGTGCCGGGGCTGCCGTTCCTGGCCATCACCAACCGCCCTACAGCACGCGCCCGTCCCCCAAGCCAGAAAATGTCGCAGCTGCCAGTGCCCCACCTGCCTACGGCACTGCCCATCGCACCATTGGCGCCCGTGGCCCAGCTTCGTCTACCACCTCATCCACCGCCACCGCCTTTGATCAGCATTCGACTGCAACCAGCCAAGCGCCAGCCAACAGCCCGCCCTCGTATGCAGCACCCCCCGCCTTTAGCTTGGCCAAGCGCATCTCGGAAGCCGAGTTCCACAGTCTCGTGCGGCCCTCCAATTAATCAGGCCCAAAGCACGCTCACGCCTGCCACCCCACTCAAAGGCCGCTTTCCCGTCTTGGCTCGTTCCTGCTTGACTTCCCACATGCTCTTCTCTTCATTGACCATGCTCATGGTCGTTCTGACTGCCTGCGGCAGCTCTCATCTCATTTCAATTTCTCCGTCATCTTGCTTACTGCATCCCCTCTGTTACCCTGAACTTTGTGTTTTCTCTGGCTTCCCTATCCCATCGTGTGGCCCATAGAAACATGCTCCTTTTCGTCTTGTTTCCGCACGCTTGTTTGCATCTCTTGAACTCTTGTTTGGTTTTTGTATTAAATTTTTTTTTGACCTGGCCGCTCAATAGACGCCTAAGGCATCACATGCCCCGGCTAGCTGTTTTAAGCAGCCGCAGGCCTCGTGTGCCCTTGTCTGACCAAGGCTCTATCTGTGGCCACAGAGCTCCCCTGGATGCCGTTATTATTTAGGAGTGTGTGCATGTCTCCCATAGTGTTTTGCAATGTCTCTGGGGCAGTTGTATGACCTTGCCCACCTGACTCCCTCCATCCTTTTCTGCCGCCATCTTGGCATCGAAAATTGACAAAAAAAAACAAACAAAACGCACAGCCAAAAGAAAGGGTTTAATTTAGACTACATGTAGATGCAGCTTCCCTGGTTGTCTTGACGGCTACGTCATCTAACAGGAAGGGGCATCATCGTTGAAGCGCTCAGCGCTTGCTGGGCTTGGCCATTGCTGCCCGTCTTCACGGACCAGTGCGACGCTCAATGTTGAGCAACTCAATCTCGAAAATTAGATCCGCGTTGGGCGGCACTTTGCCGGCCACGCCCGATGCCCCGTAGCCCAGCTCGGCCGGCAGGCTTAGCTTACGGACATCACCAATGCACATCCTATCACACACACCACCGTCGTCGGATCAGGGTAAAGCGACGCCACTCAACACGCTGAAAAATACCTTTTGAATATGCGCCTCCCCTGCCCCCATCCCTATCCCGCCTTTTGGTACCCTCTCTCTTCCACCATACTTGCATATGCAGCCCAATAAAAAAATGTTCGAGCCGACACGCACCCAACAAGGCCCTGGTCCCAACCGGGCACAACCTGGCCCGCACCCAACGTAAAGATGTACGGGTCGCCACGAGGAATGCTCGAGTCAAACTCCTCGCCGGTAGCGTGTAGCCAGCCCTGCATTGCGTGTATACCAGGCGATGAGCGCTCGTTCGCTTGGGATACAGACACTCTAAAGCGAAGATGGCACGCGGCACATCTTTACCGTGTAGTGTATGGCCAGCGCATCGTAAACGCGCGTCTTGATGCCACAATCCTCGGCGCGACGCTTCACCCCGATGCTTAATTGCTCAATGGGCCGCCGGGCGCGTCCAGATGAGGCGGGCGAGCCCGCTTCGGATTTACCATGACCAACCAGCCCCACACTACCAGGCCATACCCACAAAGCCACCGCCACCGCGGCGGCCACCACCACCGCCGCCGTCATGCGTCCCACCATGCTGCAACCAAACAATATCTTGTCCGTGAGAGAGAGAGAGAGAAAGTGTGTGTGTGTGTGTGTGTGTGTGTGTGTCTCCTTACAAGCAGTTGCTCTCATAGTGGATCTGTGTCTCTCTCTCTTCTCCTGCTTGCATTATTGTTCATGAATCCCTCACTGCGTGTGTGCTCTTCCTGGACCCGCTTAAAGCCGGCATTTTTTTGTTGACTCGCTTCGGATCGCGAGCTGACGAGTGCCATCATCATGTCTGGTAAGCAGCCTCAGTCTGGCCCTGGCCAAGCCCAAACGACGCCAACCAGTGCCGACGCGACGGGCCGGGCTGGAGTAGCTGCAGAGCCCGCTGGCGACTTGATGCAGTTTGCCACCGCGCATGCCGGACAGGACATAGTCTATGCTCCCGAATATCTCATCAACGCGGCAACACACGCGCCCGTCAAGTGCAATGAGGGGGGGGTGCATTGCTATGCATCATGCTCGCGTTGTAGCCTTGCTCGCGCTGAATTCAGTTCGAGGGCTGGCTGGGAGTTTCACTCGCGACAGAGCTCGTCCACTTCGAGCACGACCGTCAACTTTGGTGCTTCAGACGTGGGCCTTGGCGTCTGCGTCAATTCGGCCGCCACAGCGCGCGAGCACGACGAAAAGAAGTTTTCGGGCATCAAAATCAATCAGACAGGAGTCAGCTTCTGGCGCACAACCTGCGTCTGGTGCGGTCAAGCCCAGCCCAGTGATAGTGATGTACTGACCTTTTTTCATGACTATCTGAGCGGCGCGCTGACATCGGATCAAGCACGCTCGAGGCTGGCCAGCGTAGGCCTCGAGATTCGCGAAATGAGTGAAGAAACCGCCGATGCAGAGCTGCTCCACGATTTCATGACAGCCAACATGGACGCTCGTGCAGCGGCTGGACAGCCGCCTGAGATTCACGCACGGGCCAATCACCACCGTCACCAGGCGCGCGCCTCCTCCACAGCACGTGGTCGTCCTGCAGCAGCGAGGGCAACGGAAGATCAAGCGCAGCCATCTCCACGCGTCTGTGATATGACCTCAGAGCAGGTATGTTCAGACAGGGGCGATGAAGGTTCGAGATTTTGCCGGCTCCATGCAGCCCAGGTTCTATTTCATGTTGCTCTGCCGTGTTACGCTTGCTGCATGTAGCTGTATCACTATCTGGTGCAGCAGAATGTCGACAAAGTTGTGGCCAACCGAATGCGCGAAAACGCCTACAGCGGTGCCAGCCTCGAGCACTTTAATGAGGAAGATCTCGATTTTTTGGTGCGTCTATCCGTTTGCCAGTGAATCAATCCCATTGCGTACTCACGCACGAATCCGGCCATGCCCGCAGGAAATTCGAGCCCCTGCGCTCCGGCGTCAGCTGCTTGACCTTTTCACGCGTCTGGGTAGCTAGTGAAGCGTGAATTTAGGACGCTATTGCACGCTGCTCTGGTACATTCAATGTGCCCAACATGTAAATTCCATGATCTAACTGTCGAGTCAATATGTGGCCCTTACGCCACCCGCTTCATGTCGAACAACCCTCGATGTTCTTTGGCAAGTTTGCATGTAGCTATGCTTCTCGTGATGGTATACAAAGGCTGTAAAGCAGTCACATGAATCGGCATTCAGTGCTATCTGTAGCGGTACACGCCTGGATTGGAGGCTTCTGCACTCGACACATGGTACTCAACATCATCAGAGATATCCCGCACCGGGTCGACGCGTTTGCGAGGGGAAATAGACAGATTGCACTTTATTTGCATGACTCGGGCGTCGTGGCTGAGGCTTTGGGCGCAAACTGGGGCTCGGATGCAGTCGAGCCCGCAGCTTCAAATTCTGCCAGGCGGCGACGGAGAGCATCACGTTCTTTGATTGCAGCCTGGAGGGTGGCCTCGTCAATCTCGCGAGCCTGCTTGAGTTGTCGCACTTCTCGGGCTTTGAGCTCCAGGCGCCCACAAGCACGCTCAATGAAATCTTGCTGGGCTTGAAGTGTGCGTCTCAGCTGCTCCGTTTCCGGGGGCTACAAGGTGTGAATGTATGGCGCACAAGTATCAGAAAGAGTGAACCGAGGCAATGCGTACCTACATTTACCATGCCCTGTGCGGAAAATGCACGTGTCCTCAAAGCGGGGCTAGGCCTTGTCGCTTACCAGCTTTGCATCGCGATTGATGATAAAGGCGTGGCCAGCAGCGGAGACTGACAGAGCAAACACAATACCACCTTTGATCTCGCGAATGCCACTGCACATTGTGCCATGACGTTTGCCGTTGACATATAAGATGATCCGGTTTGAGAAGAAATCGACCAGAAAGCCAAGCTTATCTTTCGCCTTGGGCGCCGGACCCGGGCGACCTGCAGCCGGGGTTGTACGAAAGTTTCCGGCCCCTGTGAGCACACAGGTCCAGACGCCGTTTTGCTTGCCGCAGTGCCCATCATCACCATGCAGATGTGTCAGGCACAATGGACTGCCCGATGCCATGAATCCTTCGGGCTTCTGGATAAAGCCAAGGCCTGTGTGAAACGTTGGCGGAAGGCAGACCTGAGAGCTGATCGTTGTTGACGTGCATGAGATACGCAGCAAAACTCACAGCCACTCAAGTTTTGCTTGAGCTCGACTTCAAAGTAACAGATGTCGCTGATCTTCATGGGGTCGGTCATCCAAGCCGTGGCCCACGCGTTTCCTCCCTTTTTGGTGATGGTGATGGTTTGAGCTTGCTCCTCAATCTCAAAGCACCCAGAGTAGGGTGAGAAGCTGCCCGGAAGCGCATCGGTGTGTTTCACCAAAGAGGGTGGTTTATAACTCAGCGCGTCGTCTTCCTCAGCTTGACCAAGCACGCAGTTGCCGCAATTGCGGCAGTACTGTCCGAGCTGCTCGGTGGCTGTCCCGCACTTGGAGCAGTACTTGTGGTAGAGTGGCGAAGCCATGTTGGCAGATCTTGTTGATGTTGCTACCGTGAGCCCTGCCCTAAACTACCACAAGTGCAGTCCCCCGTCGCCGTGTGTCAAATGAGAGAGACCGTGGCCCAGCAACATGTTGATCCCGCGTTCTGCCTTACCTATGTGGCGGACTCGTTTTTTTTTTTTTTTTTCTTCGTGGCCCAGATGCACCTTGACAGGAGCAAGTACGCTCTCTTGAGCGCCCCTTGGCCTTCCACTTTCTCGCACTCTCACTCTCTTACGCAGTCTCGCTGTCGACGCTCACGCCCTGTTTCCTCGCTCTACTCTTGCTCAAGCTCTGCTCACTTGAGCCCTGCTCACTCACATATCAAGCTCGCTTCAGTTGTACCGACGAATTCGCTCTCTCTCTGTCTCCGACCAAACCAATTCAATCTCTCTCTCTCTCTCTCTCTCTCTCTCTCTCTCTCTCTCTCTCTCTCTCCCATAATAACATTCAGCCCTTTCTCAACAACACCTCTCCAATTTCAAACAGAACGGAGACATGGCTGGCTCGATCGGGATGGCGCTGGCGGCTGCCGTGCTGTTGGCGTGTGCCGTGGTGACGGCAGCGTCCCCACGGTTCACGATTAATGATGTTACGTACAAGACTGGTGACTATGTTGCTGAAGCCAAGGTGATTGCGCTTGGCCCGGGGTGTGGTAGCCGCTGCCGAAAGCAAAATTTCAAAAATTGTTGTTGTTGTTGTTGTTGTTGTTTTGAGAACGTGTGTTGGGCTTGTCAACACTGGCCGCTGCCCCTCGTCGTGTGCGTACGCTGATCCCAAGGCGTGTGACTTGTGCGTGTAGGAGCTGCTGGATACGCACACCAACCAGTCGGCCATCATCATTACGAATATGGGAGGTCGAGTCGAGGCCATCCGCCTTGTTGATCCCGCCACCAACCAGCTGCGAGATGTCATTGCCACGCATGACGGGAATGCCACCGCCATGATCACCAACCCGCACTGGCAGGGCGAGATTCTGCTACCCTACGCCAACCGCATTCGCGATGCCTCGTCAGTGTCCTTGCGCCTTTGGCTCTGAATGAGTGCATCAGCCTCCCCCCCCCCCCCCCCCCAAAT